TGAAGTCTGAAAACTGGAGATCTAGAGTGATTGGTCCCAAAAGCGAGAGTTTCATTTGACGTTAAAAGCTTCCCCCATACTTGCTGACATACGGCTCTTCGGGGCAGGGGTGTTATTATATTTCACTGGGAGCGTGACTTTTCTGTTTCCCATCCTCATCTCTATATTGGATACAGGGCTGTCCTTCTCTCGGTGAGAAATGTTACATCTCCTGTCCTCCTTCAGCATCACTTTGGCCAGCCACAGACTTGTTCATTCAAGGGCTAAATTGGCTCTCTCCGTTACACTTGCACAACTCCATGGAGTTCTGAGGTTGGCTTTACATCAACGCCCTTGGCATTTCCTCTCAGCTTTTCAGTATTTTATTTACGTCTCGAATTTATATCCCGCCCTTCCTCCCCAAGGAGCCCAGGGTGGCAAACAGATCACCATTTAAAAGAAAAAACAAACGAAACAAGCATTCTAAAAAACAATTAAAAATTTCTAAAATCAGTTGCAGTTTAAAAACATCCTGAAGGCAGTCACAAACATCTATCCATTCAAAGATCTGACGGTTGCCTGGAATACCTTCAGCCACCAAATGCCTGGGTAAACAGGAAACTTTTTCAAATTCCTCCTGAAAGTTAATAATGATGGAGACAGGCTCACCTCACTAGGAAGGACATTTCACAACCAAGGAGCCATCACTGATAAGGCCCTGTCACCACCACCAAGGCCTCAGTTGCCAATCACAGGGTTCAATATGGTGAGTATTAGGGAAGGCACTCTTTTAAGTACTTGGATCCCAGTCTGTTTAGGGCTGTATATGATAGCACTATGAACATTTTGAATTTGGCCAGGTAGCTCACTGGCAGCCAGTGTGGCGCTTTCAGGACCAGTGTAACATGGACCCAGTAGCTAGAAACCAAATATACTTCTTTGATGGGTATGGTTAGTGCTTGAATGAACATCAATAGCTTTCGATGGCTCGTGACTGTTATCTACCCCACACATCCCACACGCGTAGCTCACAGCAAAGAGAAACAGTTTCGCCATTTGGTAGTTTGAAGTTTTACAGTGGGCTAAGGAGCCTTGGAGGGGGAAGTCTTGGAGTGATGCTATGCCAGGGGTGTTGTGGGAGATTTAAAATGGCCACTCACAGTATTCTACAGTCCAGTTGCACCTGTGTTTAGCTAATGAATCCCACTGGGGAACTGGATTCCAAGCAGCTGTCAGGGTGCTAGTTGCTGATGTGAGGATTTATTTTATTTATTATTACACTTTCATGTAGGCACTTCTTCATTTTCCATTTGTAGTTCTGCCACCACCCCCCTCCACCCTCCAAATCAGTTTACATTTGGGGGAAGTGCTCTTATGCTCATCTTCACATGACTTCCTCTATCTGTCCGGTGTGTCGAAATCGCAATGACGCTGCTACTCAGCTGTGATATTTAAGGCCTTGGGGGTGATGCCAGAGGAGTCCCAAAGTGCAGACCGTGCACAGGAAAAAAAAAGTATTTAAAAATCTATTTTTGTTCAGAAAGCTATGACCCTTGTCTCGTGGGCTGGACACAGAAACAGCCTTCCTTTGGTCCATTTCTGCAATCACTTCTTTCTTATGTTCACCGGGGTAAGTCTGCTCGTAATTAACTGTTCCAACTTTATCCCTATTTTTACCATGTCGGGATACCTAGTAAATCTTTGGGTACAGCGAGGTTACGCTTACATTATCAGCTTAAAACCCAAGGTTATTCTTGCTATGTTTCAAGCCACATTTGCATATCCACCTCCAACATTTATCCGATGAAAATAAGGACCTCCCATTCCATAATGATAATTTTACTATTTATACCCCACACATCTTATTGGGTTCCCCCAACACATCCCTCCATTGCACCTGAGGGCAGCCAGGTAGCTTAAGGGAGTGTAGGCCAAAGAATATGGAACACACAGCCTTGTCCAGCAACCCCTCAGCTGCCTCACTCTGCCCAATGGTAGGGCTGGTCCATTGGAAGGAGGATGCAGGACAAGGTGTGTACATGGTAAATGGCTACTAGCCCAAATGGCTATGTTCTACCTCCACTGTCAGTGGCAGTGAATACCAGCTGCTGGGAATCACAAGTAGGCAGAGTATGCTCATGTGCTTGGGTCCTGGTTGTGGGTTTCCCACAGACAACTGTCTGGCCACTATGAGAGCACGATGCTGGACTAGATGGGCCATTGGGCTGATTCAGTAGGCTCTCTTTTTGCTCATGGTTTGATCCAGTATGAGTCTTCTTACATTGTTCTCTTGAGCTTCCTGCCCTTGATGGGATAAATTACTTGGTGCTTGGCACAGGCTCTGATCTTTGGTACAGTTTTGTCAGCTTCACCCCCTCCCCCCCAAAATAGAGGAAAGTTCTAAACTAACATCGCTTATGTATGTGTTAAATCTCTATTGTCACACATACACATGGGCTGTCTAAAAATATTCTCAGTTTTGTTTTAAAAAAACCTGATTAATATTTTCCAGGAAATGCAATTTTATTGGCCAACACCCAGTCATTATAGTTACTCACCCATTATTTCCTCCAGCTGTGCTGTTTTAAAGCTAGGGTGTTGCATTTTGAAAGATAGCCGAGTGTGGGTTGTTGTCCAATTATGGCCAGATAGAAACAATATTATTTTTTCCTTCAAAATCTGAAACTGGTACGAGAGAGCCAATGTTGCTTGCAATGCAAATACACTAATTTTCCCCCTCCCCTATTGCACTACTATTGTGTATGCTCCAACGAGCTTTGTAGATTTTTTTCGTAGCAGGACACAAACATCAAGGAGAGGCCTGTGAGTGACAATGGCCTTATCCCTGCATTCCACAATCTTGTTCCTCTCCAGATGTTTTGGACTACAAATCCCATCAGCCCCAGGGGGTACAGCTTCCTTACCCTATCAAGGTAAGAGGATCAAGTGCACAGGTGATCACCTTGACCTATCCAAGCACCCTGCCCACATCCTTGAGTCTTTCTAACTGAAACTCATCCAACACAACAGCACTAGACAGAGCTCTGAAAACTTCTTGAGATTTGTCTGCTGTAACAGTGAATGAAAGGGATTTTATCCTCAAAATGCTTTGCGAACATGTCACAGCAGGTTACTGTTGGTTCTACCACCTTGTTTGGGCCAGACTGTAAAAGGCCCAAAAGGAAAAGCTGTATATTGCAGAGTGAGGATGCCACTAAGTAGGCTTAAGCCCCCACCAGTGTTCAAATGCATTTAACTGGAGTTTTCCTCCACTTGCCTTCCAGCTTGTCTCATTGCCCTAAACCACAGAGCCAAATAGGCTCTACAAAGTGGGAGAGGACTCTCAGGGGTGGATCGTGTCAATGGCCTGAGCCATTTAAATGTTCCATAAGTTGGCCAGGGCTTTGACAGGAGTGCCAGTCAACTCATCCATCACAACAGCACTAGACAGGGCCATCTGGAAGCCAATTGGATCCATCAGCGTTTGAGGGCAGACCCTCCTTATAGGTCCCTACCTCTGCAGAGCAGAAGAGGTGCTGAAAGCCTAAATCTCAACAGGAAGTGATCAGACAAAAGACTGATGCCAATACACCCCCACACTTTCAGGTCACCCTCTTTTTTCCAAGTTAAGAAAACAAGGTCCAGACTGTGGCCTGCCACATGTCTTGGACTGGTGACATGTCCCATGGTCATCGTGGCAGCCATGAAGTCCTGAGCCACTCCATAGCCATTCACCTTGGCATGGATGTTGAAGTCCCTCAAAAACAGGAGTCTGGGAGTCCTCAACCCTGCAGGAAGACTACTGGGCAGCAAGGTATGCGGCAAACCAACAGAATTCCTAATTTGTCCCAATTGCCCAGTGCCAGGAACACACACTCTAGATCTCTTCCACACACATCCCACAACAAGACAGAGAGCTTGGAGAGAGAGAGATGGAATCCCTATGGACTATAGCAATTTCCCCTCCCCATCCTTAAGTCTGCCCTGATACTGCATTATGCACCCAGGTAAGCACAGCTAGATGAGACCAACTCCACTCTGCTCACCCACCCAGGTCTCCATGATACAGACCAGATCAGCCTCCTCATCTGTAATCAGATCTTGGGTGAGGTAGGTCTTACTCAGAGCTGGCCTGGTATTCAGCAACAGCAGCCGTACTAGACCTGAGGGCTGGCTGATAGGACAACTGCAGTTCCCCTGGTAGGAGAGGGGCTACTAACCGTGACTGTGCTAAGTGCCCCTCCCTGGGGTCTTGGGTCCCCATCACTTTCTCTTCTTATAGCCCAATACATCCCTGCCTGTTTCCTTCATTCCTCCAGCCCAGAACCTACCCACCTGTCTGAAGGTCTTCTGCTCTCTTAAATCAGAGGTGTAGAATCTGGGGAGCCTAAAGGGGGCACGATCTAGTATTGCCTAACAGTGGATTTTATATATTTTAATTTGTTTACGGCAATTGTTTCATGGATTAGGAGTAGATAATGCAGGTGAAGCTCTTTGCACTTTTAGACAAATGTACAAGATTATTATGCAGTAAGGTGGTCCCCTTTTATACACCCTAAGTATTGAATTTGTGGGTTTGTTTGTCTTTGTATATGTGTGTGTTGCAGTTTAAACCTTCATTCTATGCCTCTCTGAGACTTTTTGCTGGTTAAAAAGTGACAAATGAATAAAATGATTGCGTATAGGGCTGTTCAGAATGCACACCAGCTGGTCCTCAAGATGACACCCTCCAGAGGTCGTTTGCCTACAACTCCCAGCACCCAAAAAGGGGAGTTGTAGTTCAGCAACACCTGGGAGTCACTAGCTCGGGCAAGTCCGGTGTCCCCAGAGCCTCTCGCTTTGGAGTCGAGGCGCTCATGCGGGACTTACTCCCGAGTAGACGCTGGCACGCTGCAGACAGCCCTGCAAGCTGGAGCTGGATCTCACCCAGTGTGGCTGTGTAGGTGAGGGGGGGGGGAACAGCTTCCCCTTCTCAGCTGCTGCTGGTTCCTCCTCCTCCTCTCCTTCCCTAAGAGCTCAAGCTACTACCGGAAACCAATATTTTTCTGCTGCCGCTGTGTCTTCTTTTTGCAAAGTTGTTTCGAAGCAAACAGAGGCGCAGTCAGAGGCGCTGCAAAGCAGCATCGGCGGCGGAGCTGGTTTCTTTGCAACTTCCGAACGAACCCTGGACTTTTCTTTTTCTCTTCGCCAGCCTGGAAAGTTGTTGAACCTCCATCTCCCCTTTCCCTCCCCAGCGCCCGAACCCGGCATGTTTGATCCGCCGGCTGCTGCTGCTGCTTGCAAGCTCCGGGACTCCGGCAGAGCCCGGGCGAAGGATGGAAGAACAGCCCCGAGGCTCCTAAGAAGGCATTAAAAAGCGATCTCCGAGCGAAGAAGCGCGCCCGGCGTGTTTGGAGAGGAATCCAGATAATAATAAGAATTATTATTATTATTTTTGCAAGGGGTGGGAGACGCATCGCCCTCCTCTTTCCTCTCTCTCCCTCCCCCCCCCATCTCCACCATGGAAGATGTGAGTAATGTTTCAAGTGCAATGGGTTGGCAAAGGAAGGCAGCTTAAAAAGGCTTTGCATACTTGGGAGGGAGAAGGAATGGGCGAGATGTGGCGAGTTACAAGATAGAGGAGCGAGGAATGCGCCCCTTTTCTGTTCGTTCAAGAAGTTAAGTTTCTAGTCCTCTGGGTCCAACTGCTTGCTTTCCTCTGCTCTTGGCTGGGCGTGTGTTTGATCCTGTGATGATTATTTAGATTTCTTATCAGCCCTTCGCTGTGGGGTCCCGGGCGGTTTACAACCATGTGAAAACACAATATTAAAATCAGTTAAAACAAATTGCGGTCAAGAGAATAGGATGGATCCTAGATCGATAGATTGTCAGAAACTAGGGTACAGAGCATGCAACAGAAACTACCTTCTTAAACATTCTTACCCAGATCTTGTTTTGAAAGCTGACTGAACTTGTTAAGTTTAACATCCGAAGAGGAGTATGTCAGTTTCAAAAGCTTTTTTGGGGGGGAGGTTAGGAAAAGCTGGTGGGGGGCAAATATACTGTAGTAGAGGATAGAGGTAATTGGGGACGACGACTGGACGCTCCCCCCTTCCCCCTGCTTCCTGCTGAAATTAAACAGAGGGAGCTCTCAAAAGGGCCTGGATGAAAGTCTTTTTAAAAGTTTGTTTTCCTATTGGCATGGAATGGTCTTTGGCCTGGGAAAAGGAGAGGGAGGAAAACATAGCTTGTTTTGTTGATGGATGTCCGAGGCTGCTGGAAAAGGAGCACGTGCTTCAGAGGTCTCTCTGGAGTTGCTTTGCCCTGCTATGAGAAAACTCAGGCGGTGGAGAAAGTTGCCAAGCTTCCTGCTCTAACCTTGCTCCTGTGCCTTTTGTAGCAGCTTAGCACACTCCAGTCTTAGGCATCAAGTGTCGGTGGGACAGCTTTGCTGGCTTAATTCCTGGGCACCAAGTTGCTGTTGAAAACAGTGGAGCAGGGCCAATTTAAAAAATAAAACAAAAGCTGGCAATGCTTAGGCAGCAGTTGCTGATAAATTGAACTGGGTGAACCTCGCTGTAGGAAATGATGCTTGGAGTGTGCTTTTGGCTCAAGACAGCTGGGGGTGTTTCTTGGTTGCCATGGCTCACAAGAAGCAGGGAATTGTCATAGCCCAGGGTAGAAGGGGCCAGACTCAGGCATCCTCAATCTCTCCAGATCGTAGTGACCCATTGTGCAACTCTGACATGCAGTCTGATGAAGCAACCTGAGAGAAATGCCTTTAAGGACTGTTGCTCCCTGGTAGAATGTCTGCTTTGCATGTTGAAGTTCCAAGGTTCGATCCTGGTAGGATTAGGAATGCCCCTGAACTGAAACCCTGGAGAGCTGCTGCCAGTCAGTGTGGACAGTACTGAGCTAGATGGACCAGTGGTCTGATTCAGTATAAGGGAGCTTCCTATTTTCCAGTTGGTTGGGATGGAGAGGCCTGTATCTCACTGACAGAGCATCTGTTTTGCATGTAATAGGTCCCAATTTCGATCCCCAGTGTCTCTAGGTAGGGCCGGGAAAGTCCAGAGAGCTGCTGCCAGTTAGTGCAAACAGTATGCAGCTAGGTGGGCCAGTGGTCTGACTCAGTATGAGGCAGCTTCCTATGTCTCATGGACACATCTTAGCAATCCCTCCCTGGACCCAGCAGCATCCTTGACAATGACCCATAGCTATTGATAGTTTGTGGGCAAATAACTCGATAAATTAATACTCAAAAACCTAGGAGCATAGGAAGCTGCCAAGTCGCATCATTAGTTTACCTGGCTCAATATTGTCTACAACTGGGAAAGCAAACATTGTGTCTTCCAGATGTGGGACTACAACTCCCATCAGCCCCAGCCAGCAAGTCAGGGATGATGGGAGTTGCAGTGTAACAGCATATTAGTGGGTCCCCCTGGTTTACATTGACTGGCAGTAGCTCTCCAGGGTTTCAGACAGTAAATCTTTTCCAGACCTTCTTGGAGATGCCGGGGATTAAATCTGGGACCTTCTGCATGCAAAGCGTGCGCACTGCCAGTGAACTATTGCCCTTCCTACATTTTGTACTTGGAAGCAATTCAGTACAGACCACTGGGCTATTTAAACTCTTGACATAATTAATTCAAAGGGTCACAAGAAGGCAACTGAACCCATTATATTTACTACATTCTGCCTCTCCTGTGCTGATGTTGCTGCAATAGGATATAGGTGGTAACCCAAGATAGAGACCTGCTTTGCTAAGAGCACTTAGCATGCTTTCAGTGTGTGCTTATTTGCAGCTAAAAACTACTTTCCTATATAGGTTAGCATGCTTCTCCTTTAAAGTGTTGTTTATTCTTTTGTGCATCTCTACCCAAATCGCCTCTGGCCCGGGGTGTACCATTTCCCCTCATCCTAGAGTTTAAATGGATCCGTCCAGAAGATCAGGCTGCTGCTTCTTTCCTTCCCTGGTTTCCCCCTTGTTTTGCATTTTGAAACTCTTGCCTTTTCAAATGGGGCTGCTGCTTCCTTCTGCCAACAAACTCGTGCTTGCACCAATTCTGTCAGGGCACTTTTGTACTGGCAACCCATAAGCTGCTTTCTCTCTGCTAATGGGCTGTTGCACTATCGAGTGGGTTTTGTTTTGTTTTTAAAAGAGATTTCATGGAGCCTTCAGCTGTTCCGTCCTCATGGAGAAATGGGAAGTGGGGAAAGGAAAGGAAATGGCTTGCAAGGCTTTATAAGGGCATGGCGATGCTACAGATGTAAACCAGTTTCAATCCTGTTGGGCAGTGAAGAATAAGAGCATATATTTACTCATCAGACTTTTAAAAAAGGTTCAGTACTGCTACCCTCTCTGCAGTGCTTCTTGGGAACTGTAGTTCTGTGAGGCATTCTGTGATTCCCAGAAAAGTGTGCGTGAAGCCGCAACAATTATGTTGTTAAAATCTATATAAGTTTGCCGTGGAGACATAGCATGTTGCTTTATACTGAGTCAGATCATTGTCCATCAAGCTTGGTTTAGTCCACGGTTTCCCAAACAAATCTTCAGTTGTTATTGGACTACAACTCCCATCATCCCTAGCTACTAGGACCAGTGGCCAGGGATGATGGGAGTTGTAGTTCAAAAGCAGCTGGAGACTCAACTTTGGGAAACCCTGGTTTAGTCTACATTGTGGCCTTCTAGATGTTGCTGGACTCCAGCTTTCATCATCCCTGTCCGTTGGCCCATGCTTGCTGGTGCGATGGGAGGTGCAGTCTGGGGGGCTACAGGTTCCCCATTTCTGGTCTGCACTGATTGACAGTGGCTCTCTGGGTTTTCAGAAAGGAGAGTTCCCCAGAATTACCTGGAGAGGCTGAGGCTTGAACCTAGAATCATTTGCATGCAAAACCTCAAGACCGACCCTACCATTAGGCAGAGTGAGTAAGCTGCCTCAGGTGGTAGATGCTAAGGGTTGGGCAATGGACAAAGCTGTGTGTGCCATATTGTGAGCACTAGGTTGGCCTCCGATGCAGCGGAAGGCACTGCCCCATTGCCAGAGCTGAAGTAAGATTCAGCTGTCAGTCTGGTTAGCTTTTTTACACAGAATGTAGCAGAAGGGAAGGCATCACTTTATTCTTTGCCTCTGGTAGCAAAATGCCTTGGACTGGCTCTGCAAAGCATGGGCTAGGCTACAGTGTCCTTCAGCCTTGGGTCCCCAGACACTGTTGGACTACAGTTCTCATTAGCTGGGAGTTGTAGTCAAACCATTTCAGCCCCAAGGTGCTGCAGCTTACAGTAATTAGTTGTCCTTTGTCATCACTGTGCTGTACTCAGGTGGTTGAGGGAATGGTGACATATCTTGCAAGTATGGCATTGAGCAGTGGGTTTGTTTCAGGATTAGTTAACACACAGGACAGGTCAACCACAGGTGTCATCTCTAGGCTGAGCCTGCCATGTTCACGACCATTTAAGGAATTATAACAAGGATAGGGAACTTGTGGCCTCTATATATTGTTGGACTCCACTTCCCATCAGTCCCAGCCAGCACAGACAATGGCCAGGGATGATGGGAATTGTGGTCCAGCAGTTACCAAAGGACTGCAAGTTCCCCATACCTGGAAAATAAACTTTGCCTTTGACTAGCATCTAGTATTCTCAGCTAAACCGTTACTGAACAGGGAGGTTACATTGACCTATTTTGGCTAGTATCCACTGATCATGCTAATTAAGAGATGATAGATTTGATTCATTTTTAAAGCTGGTTACCTTCACTATATCTTCTTATTTCCTTTTTCACATTCACACTGTTATCTTCCTTAATTGTTTCCGGGATTTTAGGCAACAGAAAATTGCAAAGGTGCTTTTTTTACAATCTTGTGCCATTTTTATTTGCAAGAAAAGAAATCTTTTTTTCTATGTCTTTATGGACTGCGCTTTCATTAAAAAACAAAAAAACAAATACAGTATACCAATTTGTAAAAAGGTCAATTAAAACATCAGTAAATACTGGTTACTAAAAAAGAAATTCACATTGCAAAGGCCTGTCTGAAACACATTTTTTTCAGATTCCTGCTGAAACTCTAGTGGTATGGAGTTCCACAGGACTGGGTCTGTCACACTAAAGGCTTGGTCCCTTGTAAAGCCCAGCAGAACCTCCATAGACAACTTAACTGCAAAAAATAAAAAAAAAATCATTTTTGAAAGTGTTTGAGGGCAACTGCTTTGAAAGGATTGCAAAAGGAAATTGTGGCCTCAGATCTTCAGGAAGCAACTGTCCACAAGTTTGCTCACCACATTGAGTGCCCACCAACCCAACAGGCATGCTTGTTGGAACTTAAGTCTGCGTTGCAGAGTCCTCTGAGTGCCTTGGAGGCAACAGAAGACTTGTCTAAGCCCTCTTCCTGACTGCCTCTGAGTTTATGCTGCACCTTGTAGATTCTCCAAGTGCCTCTGAATGAAGCTGAATGGGAAATAGGAGACACACACCCCACCCTTCCCTATTGGGAAAGGGGCAGGGGTCCTGGCAAGCCATCATAATAATAATAATAATAATAATAATAATAATTTATTATTTATACCCTGCCCATCTGGCTGGGCTTCCCCAGCCACTCTGGGCGTCTTCCAAAAAAATATTAAAATACTGTCATACATCAAACATTAAAAGCTTCCCTAAACAGGGCTGCCTTCAGATGTCTTCTAGAAGTCTGGTAGTTGTTGTTCTCTTTGACATCTGGTGGGAGGCGTTCCACAGGGCAGGTGCCACTACCGAGAAGGCCCTCTGCCTGGTTCCCTGTAACTTGGCTTCTCGCAGTGAGGGAACTGCCAGAAGGTCCTCGGTGCTGGACCTCAATGTCCGGGTAGAACGATGGGGGTGGAGACGCTCCTTCAGATATACAGCCTAAACGTTAGATTACTATTAAAGCCATCCAACATTTGTCAACTTCTCCCTCAAATTGGAATTTCTGTTTGTCCCATAATAAATGTTCAGCGTACAATGGAAGCCAAAAGGTTAAATTTTGGACAGGACCTTTTTTAGACTGTATGTGTAAAGTCATATGTCTGAATTTTCCACACATACAAATGCAAAGCTCCCTTCAGGTAATATTCGAGTATACTTGGAAGCAAGGCTTAAAGTATTCTTCTCCAGGAGAGTGAGGGAGAGAGAGTGGTACAGTCATACCTTGGAAGTTGAATGGAATCTGTTCTGGAAGTCTGTTAGACTTCCAAAACGTTTGGAAACCAAAGCCTGGTTTCTGATTGGCTGCAGGAGGCTCCTGGAGCCAATCGGAAGCCGCGATGGACGTTTGGGTTCCAAAAGAACATTCAGAAACCAGAACACTCACTTCTGGGTTTCAATTGTTTGGGAGCCAAGGTGTTTGAGATCCAAGGTATGACTGTATATCAAGATTTTCACTAATGTGGGGGAAGAGAGCTTTGTACATCATAATTTGACACAAAAGAAATGAAATTCCATCAACAGCTTTGAAATGACCCAGGTCTTCCTTAGAAACATGTAATTTGTGGGTTATTTTCCCTGCAATAGCCAGAGTTCACATACCCTTCTACCGCAACAAGTGGTTTAAGTCATGTCGTGTCTTCCATTTCTGGTCCAAAGAAGTTCTAGATAGGCTAGTTTGAAAATTTGTGTGCGAGTATCAAAAAATGTAATCGTACCCTGTGGAAGTTGAAATGGTGCAGTCCAGAATTTCATCACTAATGTTCGAATCCACTGTGCACATTTTGGTTACAGTGTGGGAGGAGACTAGGAGGGAGGGTACCACTAGTTATACATCTGCTGTAGCCAATGTTACACCGGAAAAAGCTGAGCTAACCTCTGTTGGCCATATACCTGGTGACTTGCCAATGGGCATCCTTTGGATCCATGTCAGAGCACTGATTTCAAAGCAGTAGTGCGGCTTCCAAGTCCACCGCGTTTATTGCTGGACCACACTAGCTGCAGACCACTACAAAGAAGTGAACTGGTATGCTCGTTCCAGCAACTGGAGTAACTTTATTTTTGATGCACTGGCTGCCCCCCGCCAAAAAAAACCCCCTAAAAAACAAACCATTAAATACATGACAGCGGTGTGATCATTGGGGTCAAACATGCAGAGAAACCCAGGACTGCCATTTGCAGAACTTGTATTTGTTGCACTGCAATTTTGCATATGTCTCAGAAGTTAGCCTCATACACATTCAGTGGGGACTTACTCCATAAGATTTCTGCCTGAATTTCAATGATCTGGTTCATAGTTTTTCTTTCTTTAGCCCTGTGCAAAGGAGGTTAGAGTTATAGACTCTTGATATGCTTCTAAGAGTTGCACCAAAAGGAGCTTAATCAGAAATCCTGACATGTCTATATTTGTACAAGAACTGAAAGTTGCAGGAAGTGGTAATACGTAGTAAGACATAAGTTCCTGGTATATTAGAAAGATGAGTTCTTGTTTTTTTAAAATGGTACATTTAATCTGATTTAAGCACTCCTCATATCCTTACCCTCAAAGAATGAATCAATGAATCTTTATTTGCATCAGCCATCGGCCACAGCAATAAAACAACAATACAATATACAAAGAATAGAAATAAAAAATCAATTATATAAAATACAGTCCCTCAAAGAGATTTGAATAAGAAATCTAAATTGCAAACCTTTTCAGCATCAGTCTAATTAAAATTAGGAATAGTCAGGTTCCCATAAGGAATATATTTGGGGTACTTGTTTGTTTGTTTGTTTGTTTGTTTGTATTGCACATTTGTAGCCAGATTTAATTATTTTTTATTCAAAACAATTTTATGCCCTGCTTTCCCTCTTCACAAAGCAGTTGCTCAGAGCAACTTACAAATAAAGAGCAAACATCAGTGCAACAGTGATCCAAGCACTAAAACACAAATGTTCAAACAAATTTTTTTTACAAAGAGCAGTACTTACAGTGAATATGTTGAGCAGCAACAGAAGAGAAGTTTTTAATTGGCAGTGGGAGAAAAAAAGAGTAAGATAACCTAACCTTCAGCTGGTGCAAAATGTAATGGCCAGATTGTTCGCCAGAACAAGATGGTTGGAGCATATCCTGACCCATCTGCCCTGGCTGTCAGTTAGTTTCCAGGCCAAATTCAAAGTGATGGGGTTGACCTATTAAGCCTCAGGACCTCAATACTTTAAGGACCGCCTCTCCCCATACAAACCGATCCAGACCCTGCGCTTATCATCTCAGGGCCTTCTCTAGAGGTTCAAAGGGTGGCAATAAGAGAACAGGCCGTTTCTGTGGTGGCCCCCCAACTGGAATGCTTTCCCAAGGGAGACTTGCCTGGTGCCATCATTACATGTCTTTAGATGCCAGGCAAAAACATTCCTCTTTACTCGGACTTTTAACTCATTAAATAACTTACGGTGTGTTAAAGCTGGTGGCATGTACGACTGTTATTATGATTATTTTATTATTATGCTGCCTGTTGCTATGCTTTTTATTATGTTTTTATTATTGATTCTCCATAAAATGTGTTCTTAATGTTGTACACTGCCCCGGGATCTTTTGATAAAGGGTTATTATATTATTAATATAATACTTATATTAGTAATAATAATACTGCCCTGGGATCTTTTGATAAAGGATGGTATATAAATCAAATAAAAATATAAACAAACAAACAAATAAATCACCAGAATATCCATTTCAGCAATTCTCTGTGTTTGTGCTTTCCCCCATTTTCTTTCTAATATATTTCCCCTTTGCAGTGCTATTTGAAAGTCATGCAAACCAATCTTGAAGATTTTCCAATGTTGGGGGCAGACTCAAGAAAGGAAGCTTATATCTGATCTTCTGAGAATGTGTGCTGCAAAGTGTATTTGAACTCATCCTGTCAGCTCTCACAAGATATTATGAGACTTTAATTTAAAGAGAGAGATATATTGGGGGGGAGGTGGCTATTTGGCCTGGAAAATAGAAGCTGTTTGCCCTTAATAGGAAGGTGTGCTGGAATTTAGGATGTTTTTTTCTTAGACTATATTGGTGTGTTTGAGTAGCTGTCCTGGCTATGGGCTTCTATTAGTGCAGCTCTGAGCAAGTGTGCCTGAGGCCAAGGCTTTTTTTTTTTTAAGGCGAAAAAAAGGGTATGAATGTGACTGAAAAGTGAGAACAGGAAACACCATGTTATATTTATAGTTATATATACATTTAGTTATCTATCTGTCCACAGTTTATATATATCTAATGTGATATATGTATAGTCTTGTCAAAGAGAACCCTGAATTACTGAGGGATCTTAAACCATTTCTTTCAACGAATTTGAAAAATACGTTTTCAGTCAGTTGGATGGTTTCCAGAGGTAGCGTTGACAAAGCACCCGTCCCCCCACCTAACGCACATGTTCAGGGTGCGAGTCTCCCTGCTGATTTTCTACTGGTCCCCATGGGTGAGCAATGTGGCTGGAAGTGGTAGGAGTAGATTAGAGAGAGACCAGGCTCCTGCTATATATCCCAGGCCTGGCCAAGCAAGCAACCAACCGCCTGCTGTCTACCATTGTTGCATATAACATTACTGCTTCTGTGTAGAAGTCGTGGAATCCGGAGCTCCAGATCCTTGCCTCTCTCCTGGTTCATATCTCAGTTTCTGTGATGTTATTATCCTTTTCTCTTTTTTTACTTTTTACTTTAGATTTCTCACTTCTCCTTTACCATACCTTTCTCTTTAACGCATTTATTCTACGTTATACTGTAGGGGTGCTCAGGTGAACCCCCACATGCCAGTCCTCAAAGGTTGGAGGGGGGAGGAAGTGGGAATGTTAGGCAAGACTCACTTAAGCCTGTCTGAAAAGTGGGATGCCCATCTTGCCCCAGTTTGAGTGCATTGCCTCATGTCCTCGATGAATATGTGAGGGAGGGTTAGTATCCTGACGGAAGGACTACATGGCAGGAGCTGCCTTATCCTCTTGGATTGGATCTGATCTGTGGGCAATTGCCAATTATAAGAACTGTAACTTGGAGGAACTTGTTTTCCTCTTCCCTCCAATTCATTTTTCCTTGTGTGCTGTGTCTTTTTTATTGAGAGCCTGAGGGCGGCGACTGCCTCGTTTGCAGTGCAATAAAAACACACACACATGCATGCAAACAAACAAACAAACATTTCACAAAAGGTTGCTCTCGCCTTGATTGCAGTTTCTTTTCTCCTTAGATAACGGAGAATTGTGGTGTGGGGGAGACACAGGAGAAAAACTGAGCACCTCTTATGCTGTGCACATAAATTAAAGTTGCTTGTATAGCTGCATAATGTGCTGGGGGGGGGGTGTAAAGGTTTGAGTTTCTAATGACAACCTTTCTTTTTTTCTGGTGTGGCGCTAGGGTGTGAAGGAGGAGACCCCAGAGAAGCCAAAGTGTCCTACTAAAGCGGAGAAAGCTGGCTGGATCAGGAAGAGCAGTGCAGGCCTCTTTGGTCTCTGGAAGGAGCGTTACATCCAGCTGTGCAAAACCAAACTGTTAGTGTACGAAGATGAGGTAAGAACAGTTGAAGGGAAGCTTCTCTGGAGAGGGCTGTTCTCTTGCTCAGTGCTCGGTGACACTGGGGCCTGCCACAATGCAATGATAGGATCAGCCACTCTTGTCTTGACACGGTGCCTTTCAGTACGTTCGCCTGCTAAATCCTGAAGACCGGTGGCGCTCATAGTTCGCCTGCATTAAGGTTGTACCTGTCAATTCCGTATGAAAATAAGCTCCTGTTTCTCCCCTTGTATGAGACACCACATTCCAGGGAGCTTGCCGTTTTGGTCCATTGCAACAGAAACCAGCAGTCTTGTACCACTTGAAAGGTTCGTGTTGTGGCATGAAGCTTTGGGGATCTCAACCTGCTCAGGCTTTAATACTTGCCTTGGAGGTCCTGCTGTCTGTATCATTGTCCAAGGTGCTTAATAATAATAATAATAAATTATGTGTATGCAACCCACTTGACTGGGTTTCCCCAGCCACTCAAGAGATTAGGCCCTTTTGGTAGTGGAAATAGGTTTCCCTGTAGAGCAAGGATGAGGAGCCTTTTTCATCCCGAGGGCCACATTGCATTCTGGTCAACTTTGCAGGGAGCCATGTGCCAGTGGGCAGGCAATAAATGTTCAGTATACTGATTTCTGGGACGTGGGTGGCGCTGTGGGTTAAACCACAGAGCCTAGGACTTGCCAATCAGAAGGTTGGCGGTTCGAATCCCCGCGACGGGGTGAGCTCCCGTTGCCCGGTCCCTGCTCCTGCCAACCTAGCAGTTCGAAAGCACGCCAAAGTGCAAGTAGATAAATAGGTACCACTCCGGCGGGAAGGTAAAAGGCGTTTCCGTGCGCTGCTCTGGTTTGCCAGAAGTGGCTTAGTCATGCTGGTCACATGACCTGGAAGCTGTACACCGGCTCCCTCAGCCAATAAAGCAAGATGAGTGCCACAACCCCAGAGTCAACTGGACCTAATGGTCAGGGGTCTCTTTACCTTTATACTGATTTCTACACACGTTCACCCACCTCTCCATCCAGACTAACAAGACACATTGTCTGTGTTCAAGGGTACGTTCCAGCCAGGCAAAAACACTTGGGGTGCAAAGCTGGGGTGTTTCTTGGGGAAAGTCCCAAGGGAGATAAAGAGATTTGGAGGCCTGTATTCAGCCCCAGAGCTTGAGGTTCCCCAGCCCTGCTGCAGAGATTCACCCAGCTTCCTCCCTGTTATTTTTCAGACAAAAACTGAAAACATGTCTATTCATCAAACAGGATTTTAATATCTAACTCTGCTTCTTTCTTTTATTAATTGCTTGGGGGTAAGCAGCTCTAACTCTTAGAAGAAAGACAGATTTAAATGTTGAACTAGTAATAATAGAGCCCATTTTCTTAGAAGCGCTGCTACACATTCCCGCCCCCCCTATACTCATGTGTGCCAGTGAGAGATACAGTTCTGCCATCTAAGGATCTGATCAAATAGATTCTAAGCCACAAACATTCATGTCAAAATAAAGCTGCAGTCCTGTGCAATTTTACGTTGCAGTAAGTCCTGCAGAATTCAACAGGACTTAATTCTGAGTAGGCAGAACTTTTTAAAAAGAAAGAAGAAGAAAATGAAATGCAGTCTGAAGCCCAGTGTTGGTGAAGGCCTGTTAGATTAGCAGTAGACATTCTACTGTGCATGCAGAAGGTCTTGGGTTCAACCCTGGAATCTCCAGGAAGATCTGGAAGAGAATCTCTGTCTGAAACCAGGGAGAGCTACTGCCAGTCAAAGTCAACAATAGACCAGTGGTCTGACTCATGATAAGGGAGCTCTCTGTGTTGCTCTTTTGTTAAGAGCTGTGTTTGGACTTCGAAGAACTGGGTTTGAATCACAGCTCCGGCATGAATATTCTTTGTCCTTGGGTGAGTCACTATTTTTCTCCTTCAGCCTTATTTTTCCCAGCAGTCTGCAGGAATAACAAGGACTTGCCTCACAGGACTTAGTGAGAATCAACATAATAATATTTATTATTATTTTTACAAATATCAGGAACCTCTTCTTACATTTGCGGAGAATTGGCCAGGATATTATTTGCAAATAATTTGTTTTGATTTGACTGGAAAATAAAGCCACATCAAGAGAAGGTGAAATGACTTCATAGGATTTGGGAACAATCAACTGAAGACTAATTCGCAGCTTTTCAGCAATTAAGGGTGCAGTCCTGTGCATGTGAAATTTGGAGGAAGAAAATTTGGAGTTTAGGATTGCAACCTAAGCATCAGAATATAATTCAGACTTGGGGATCGGTGGTTACTTATATAATGAATAAGCCCTCGTAGACAACCGTGCAAAGATTTTATGAATGATGCTCCTTGCTGCCTTTCATTTTTGGATATTTCAAAAGATTTTTTTTATAATAAGTGCTAATTTAATATACTTTAAGAAATATGAGATATATAGCCCCATCAATGTCTGCAGCCCTTTATAGTATAGGCAAAAGGGAGTAAGTTCCTGCTCCAAGGATCCTACAGTCTAACGGGAAGAGAGCAAAGGGAGAGCATTTTTCACATTGGTGAGCATTCAGAAACACAGACCTCCTCTTGCAGTTGCACATACAAGACTTGGATTTCCTAGAAGTTGGGAATAAAGACTGGGGTGGAGTGATGGGGTAGTAGTTGTATTAAGCAAGAGCATCATAGAACATGATCTGGAGTAAGGTCTGTGTTCAAGTCCCCACTCAGTGATGACGTCTGTGAAGGTTGGGCCAGTTACATGCTCCCAGCCTAGCCTATGTTGCAGGGTGATTGTGAGGAGAATATGAGACAGCCCCCCTGCATGTCAACCTCTGGCTCCTTGGGGGAACGGGACAGGATGTGCAAAAGGGTTATTTTAATTGTAAAAGATGCTTGTAAATAACCACTTGGCTGGTCAACTATGGTATTCCCCCCATTTCCTCCAGGTGACCAGCTATAGACCTGGTCCACACAGGCAACAGAATAAGACTGCAAGAACCCTGAAGTGGTAGAATAGGCTGTACCACTTTTAACTTCAGGTGGGGCAATGCCATCTTTGAATGCTTATCCACTGTAAGAGCTCCCTGCAAATTTAAAAGGAAAAGCAATGCCTCTTTGTTGTTGTACAGCAGCCTGCTCCATGTTATGCTTGCTTTTTACTTTTAGAGATCTCCCCCAAGCACACACAGAGGGGAACGATTGAAAATGTGGTGTTTCTCCTGCTGTCACAAGTAGTGTAGTTCATTCTGACACCTGCTAACGCTGCTGCCCTCTTCCCACAGCTTTCTGCTAGCTGTGACTAGTAACTTCACGTGTGCACACCCCTCACTCCACCCTCAGCGGTGAGCTTGCAAGAGCTAACAGAGGCAAGTGTGGGCTCGCAGGCTAATAAAACCAAAATAAAACCGGAGGCTGCAGAGCTTCTCTGCAAGGCTGTTGTAAAAGCACTCTGCAAAATTAAAAATGGTGCAAAGATTGCGATGGTGCTTATTTATTTTTAAAAGTGTGTATCTGGTGCCCTTCCTCTCAGGGCCGTGTTCAGACCATCACTGAGAAAGATGCCATCTAATATGTCAAAGGATGGGTTTGTTAGAAATGACAGAGCAATGCAATGTTCGAAAACCGAGGTACCACTGTATTGCAAATTTATTGAAGAAAGGGAAAAAAAACATATAGAAAGGAGAGGAAGGAAAGGGGGGACAGGAGAGAGAAAGAAACACACACACAGGAGAGGAAAAACATTTCAGCTCACATTAACAATACAATAACCATCAATACATCCATCTTAGCTTACACAGGTAGCTCTCCACATGCCAACCAAATGTCCAAATATGTATACAAATGAAGCTGATGTTTCTAAAATGTGTGTTCAGATATAGCAAGGATGTTATGGTCTCCAGACCACTGCATGATAGATGGTGAGTGTTTATCCTTCTAGTTTCGCAGTGTCTCTTGGCTCGCTATTGTTCTGCAGTTAAAACCCATCCTTCAGGAATGCAGTGTAAAAGTACACAAGCACCCACAAATACCAAGGATTTCACCAGTACAAAAAAGGGTCTTGTCCGTGGAACCTGCAGGACCATGGAGAGTTTCTAGTGGGCAACCGGTTCTACTGGAGACTGGGACTGGATTGAGCCCTTTTCAGCCTCTGACTTCCTTGGACCCAGGAGAGGGTCCCATGAGGGTCCTAGTCCTTGTTCTATAAGCCCTAGTGCTGTGGGATCTGGTCCAGAGGGCTCCTGTGTCCCAGCCTTGGGTTTAGCAGCCCACGTGAGGCTCCAGGCCATGAAACCAGACTACTGTGGCTACTCAAGCATAAACCCAGGCCCCATCTGCATGGTTCCCCCCAATGAATCCTGGGAAGTGTAGTTGGTTAAAAGTACTGAGAGTGGTTAGGAGATCCCCACAGCGCTCCAGTTCCCAGAGTTCCCTGTGAAGAGGGTTTGATTGCTAAACCACTCTGAGAATTGAAGCTCTGTGAGGGGAATGGGGTCTCCTAACTACTCTCGGCTCCCTTAGCAAATGGCATTTCCCAGGATTATTCAAGGGAAGCCACGGGTGTTTAAAGCGGTGTCATGGTGCTTTAAATGTATAGAGTGAATGTTGTTGCCTCAGTAGACTGTAAACTCGGTGTCAGGATCCCTGCTCAATCCCAGCAACATAATGCTACTGTGTTTTTAAGGCAAGCTCCATGGATTGAGATCTGAAATGGACTGGCAACTGTTGGGAGTGTTGGGCTGGCAAAGTGTGTTTGCTTCCACCAGTCCCGGTTGGTAGCCTAGCAGTCCCCCGTCCCCCCGCATTGTCTTTTAATGAAAAGCCTTCAAAGGAAGCTCCACGTGCAACACATGCCAGTGGTCCAGATCCCAGATAGCAGCGGCTAGGCTACAAGGAGAAATATAGGCGTTCCTAATCAATCGTTCATCCCCTGGGCAGCTGGAAGTCATCAAGTCCTGGGAGAGATAAGAAATTTAAAAGATGCACTCACAACAAACCCCTGATTTAATTGCCATGGCTCATCTTCCTGACTGCTACTGAGCCCCAAGGCAATTGTCCTTCATACCTTCTGGTCTGCCTTTCCCCTTTCTCCTCTTTGCCCATTCATGGGCATGAAGGACACTTGTCTGATTGTGTTTTCTTCTCTGCCTTAGATGGTGACACCTCTGGTGATACCTCTCCAGATGTTGCTGGCTCAATAGCACTTTCTTCTCCAGTTGATTTCCATAGGGTTGGTGTCTTGAAGCAAAGGCAATTTAAGAGCCTTTGGGCCTTAACAAATTTATTATGGCATAAGTTCTTGTGGACTCAGATTTAAGGGAAATGTTCGTTGGCAGATATATATAAATAAAGGAGAAAACTAGACGGTGGGAGGTAAATGGCAGTGAATTGCAAAAATTACAGTCAGTTTGCATGAGAGCTTAAAATACACAAGCAAGAGGTGAAGGTGGTCCCTCAAGCTTGCAATGAGCATTTGGTGTGTTGGTATTTGTACTTGATCTGAAAAGGTAGTCCTGAGTCTAGGACACAGTCCCCTCCCATAGCATAAAGGTAGATAGAGAGAAATAGGTATTTTTAAATATTCTTTTCTGCATGGCCAAAATATACAATGAAATACAAACGGAGAAATATAAGACAGTGGTTGTATTGTGGCTGACTGGCAGGTGAAGACTGTTTTATTCCAACAGACTTTGGGGAACAGACTGGTTTTAAGGAAGGGGCCTTTAATAGTGCTGTGCTGCATTTCCATAACTTGCTTAATTCTATTGTAGATAAAATGCCTTTTAAACTATTATCTTTTAGCTATCTGTGCTTTTTTTTTCATGTTTGCTTTAATTTTTGTGAGCCACCTTGAATCCCAGTTCTGCGAAAAGGGCAGGATATAAATAAATAAAATGATAACAATAGTGTTAGCCTTGTGCAATGAAGGGTAGCAAAGGGGTTCCTTCACACACACACACACACACACACACACACACACACCACTATTGTAATATCATATAAGGAACAGTCTGAGTGTGTGCCAACTCAACCCTTTTTTAGGTGAAGCTGATCTGGCTACTGTCGCATGTACCTTGGGCACATTTAGCATGGATTACTGCAACATGCTTCACGTAGGGCTGCCCTTGAAAAGTTAGGAGGAAATGCTAGCTGGTGCAAATATTATGTATTTTGTGGTTTTATGTCTTGATTTCATTCTGTGAATCACCCTGAGACCCCCAGGTAGAGGGCGGTATATAAATTCAATAAATAATAATAATAATACAGCTCCCAGAGTGTTCTCAGGGCTCACTGGTATTTTGAGCAGAATACTATTTTCCCCTTTCAGTCTGAACTGGCTTCCAGCTCGTTGGTGGTGCTGATCATGTCAAGTTTGCAGGTTCGATCCCTTCATGGGACAGTTGCATATTCCTGCATATTGCAGGGGATTTGCCTAGATTATCCTCAGGGTAACTTCCAAGTCTCGGGACGCGGGTGGCGCTGTGGGTTAAACCACAGAGCCTAGGACGTGCCAATCAGAAGGTCGGTGGTTCGAATCCCCGTGACGGGGTGATCTCCCGTTGCTCGGTCTCTGCTCCTGCCAACCTAGCAGTTCAAAAGCACCTCAAAGTGCAAGTAGATAAATAGGGACCGCTGTGGCGGGAAGGTAAACGGCATTTCAGTGCGCTGCTCTGGTTCGCCAGAAGCGGCTTAGTCATGTTGGCCACACGACCTGGAAGCTGTACGCCGGCTCCCTCGGCCAATAAAGCGAGATGAGCGCCGCAACCCCAGAGTCGGTCACGACTGGACCTAATGGTCAGGGGTCCCTTTACCTTACTAACTTCCAAGTCTCCAATTCTATGATTCATTCCTGGGCACAATTCAAAGTGCTGGTTATTACCTATAAAGCCCTAAGTGGTTTGGGTATTTCAATATTTAAAGCTGTGCCTTCTCCAACACATATCTGCTCAGGACTGGCTGATGATGTCTTTCTGCCTGAGACAAAGGACAAGATGACACATCCTGCTTCCAGATTCCATGTACAGAAGCAGACCAATCCGGAAACTAAATCTTAGGCCGTACCGTACATTTAAAGCAGTATCAAACCACTTTAAACAGTTATGGCTTCCTCCAAAGAATCCTGGGAACTGTGATCTGTTATATTGCTGAGAATGGTTAACCCCTATTCTCCTCACAGAGGTCCGATTCCCTGAGAGGTTTAACAATCAATGCCTTTTCCCAGAGAATTCTGCAAATTATAGCTCTGCGAGGGTTTGTCTCTGTTAATTTGTAGCTGAAGACGGGAGACAGCACGTCCTTCACAGTAACTATCCATACTGATCTTTAATTGTATTTGTTATGGCTTCTTGTATTGTATTTTATGGTATCGCAATATGAAACCTATGGGATTCAAATTGTAATACAATAAAATGCAATATATAAGAAATAAAAGATGCAGTAAAAATACAATTTAAACCACGTAGCATCTAGTGCAGTGCCAGTTTTCAGGTGTGAGAAAAATGATTTTATATGTAATGGAAGCAATAAAGTCTGAGGCAGAACTCCTATGTTTTGTGGCCTCACCTTGGGGGCAAGCTCTTATATGTTATAGTATAGTTTAAATGTGCTTAATGAGCTGGGATTTGCTTGTAATGCAAAGAGAGAGAGAGAGAAAGTAAAAAGAAGAAGAAAGAAAACCAGTGGGGTTTCAGGCACCCCATGACTCTGCTGGGATGGGACAGGGCAGTAATATTGAGAGAGGCAATCTCAATCTAGCTATATATGCTTTGACTGGTGAGCTTCTCATGACTTCAAACGGACCCAGACAAAAATAATCTGTGTTTGCTCAACGTTTCCGTTGTGTTCAGTTTCCTGTGACTTGGTTTCTTGCACAAGCTAGATTTTGCAGGATTGGGCCCATAATGATAAGATTATTTTTCTGCTTTACCCAGCAAGCAGCACCAGATATATGGACATGTTTCGTCTCAAGGGAATTTGGAACAGCACACTTTTGCACCCTTAGAATATTGCTGCCCAGTGACCATTTTATTTTATTTTTTATTTTTTTTAAAAAATGATATTTATTAAGCATTTTCAAATTACAGAAAAAACAAAGAGACAAAGAAGAAAAAGAAAAACAAGGGAAAAGCAAACAGCAGTCAAACAATACAAATCGATAAAAATCAAAACCAAAAAACAAAACACATAACACATCAAAATCAAAAAACAAAAGTAAACCACAAACATTTAAAAACAGATCCAATATTCCCAAATCCTTAACTGTCATTGCCTTATTTCATCGACCTCCTCACACCTCCCTTTTTTGTATTCCAGTTATTAATTATCACAGCAAATCCTTCCCATTTTTCATAATATTCTGTCATTAAATTACCTTAATCTATTTTAACCTTATCTTGCTATAAAAGACCCTAAAACTTAAAATTTAAATCTTATTTATACCAATTTCTCATAACCATAACATATTCTTGCATAGTTCTTTTTAACATTTCTGCTAAAGCCAAATAGTTTCGTTCCAACATTTTCCCAATACTCATTAATTTTACAAAACAATCCTAAATAAATTTTTTTTAAAACTTTCTTCCAATCTTCATCCAACGTCTCTTCCTCCTGGTCCCGGGTTTTGTCAGTCCTTTCTATCCCATCCATCTAGTTCATTAAGCTGGTAATCTTATGTCCTAGGCCCTTAAGTCTCTTCCATGTCCCTTCCGCAGATCTTCTTCATATTTATACCTGTACTTTACTTTGTCTCCTTGTCTTTTCACTCGTGGAAACTCCAACTTGACAGTATTTTTGTCCCTTCTCGACAGATCAGCCCCTTTTCCATAGTCCACACTGAACTCCATGTGGTGTTTAAAAGCATGTTTCAAGGTCCCTCCAGAGTTGAGGACCCCCACAACCCCAAACTCCTCACGGCCCATTGCCAGACTTGAAAAGTCAAGGCATCCCTGCATAGGGGGGTCTATCCAGCCCCCCATCTCCAAACCCAACGCAACTCTATCTCTCCAAGTCTGGCTTTTTACAGGTTCATTTGTCAAATCCAACAACTCATCTTCCTGCTGGGCCACAGCTCCCTCCATCCCAGTGACCATTTTAGTTGCTTCTACAGTGCAGTCAATGGGGCCTCCTTCCCTGTGCTGACATTCCCACTGTGAGGAACCTGTGCTCCTCCAGCAGTTGCTGGACTCCAAACCTTGTCAGTCTCAGCATCAGCATGACTGATGGACAGGGATTATGGGAGTTGTAGTCTAGCAACATGGAGGGCTGCAGGTTCCTCACACCTGGTCCGTAGGCACAAAAGGATGTAACATTTCCAGCAGTTGAGGGGGCTGGGGGGGCAAAGAGATTTATTTCAATTCCCTGTGAAACTCCTTGCCGTTCCTCACCACAAACAGAACCATCTTAAGTGATGTAAAGTAGCGGAAATTGCAGGAAAAAATTATCCAAAATGAGAAAAAATGACTCTTCTTTCATATATGGTAGACATACTCTTATATTTTCCATCTCTGTGTAAAAGTTTGAAATTCCTAATTGTGTGTGAATTTTATTACATCTGTGTTCTTTTCCTTCGGCCATGAACTTAAATCACTAAGTTCCTCACAAGCTGCCTTCTGTCGTCCAGGGTTGCAATCTGTGAGCTTTTTACACCCTTGCAGAATTGCACAGCCTAGAACGCTTGTTGAAATGAGAATGGCTGCTCAAGGCCTGGCCAGTGGGCCTCGGCTTGAGGCAGGATTCGAACCCAGGCCATCCTAGTCCAAGCCCAGTGCCCTCCGCACAACATTGCACCTGGTTTCATGTCCTAGATCAGAGTAACCCAGTGCGTTTTATTCCCCCGCCCCTTGCAGGAGGAACAGAAGTGTGTTGAGACCGTGGAGCTGGAACGGTACGACAGGTGCCAAGAGTTGCGTGCCCTCCTGAAAAGGAAAAATCGGTTCATTTTAATCCGGTCTCCGGGTCACAAGGTAGGATGTCCTTCTCTTTGTACATGGATGAATTGCGTTTATCTGTCACCCCTCCCCAAGAAGCCAGTACTTCTTCTCGGTGCTGTGTACTTATCCATGCTTCACAGCTGTTCTTTTTCACAGCTCTCCAGAGTGTCATGCAGATGTATTGGCTTGAGAAGTCAGAGATTGAACTGAAAACCTTCAGTATATAAAGTGTGTGCTGTGTTGCTTTATCTAGGGGCATGGTGTAGCTTGTTGAAGAGCTGGACTTTCCCGTGTAGCAGCCTTCTCGTTCTGCCTGTTGGAAGGGTCAGACTTATGGGAGCAAACAGAGGTGATTCAGGGTTGCAAGCGGTCTGAAATATACTCGGAGTTGAGAGTGGATTTCATCCTCTTTATTCAGCTCATAGTGGTGAGGAGGAATGAAAGTTCCCCCAAAGTATCTGCATGTGATTGGCTAATTCCGGAATTCTCCTGTAGGCCAATCAGGTTGTGGAATCACTTCCATCTGGAGCTGGATTGGGTGGCTCCTGCAGACCAATCATACTGCCGCATAGTTCTGGGACCAATTAGACTGCTACATTCTGAATCCTATTGTTCTAGGACCAATCAGACTGCTGCATTTTGGATCCTATTGTTCTAGGACCAGTCAGACTGTTGCATTTTGGATCCTATTCAACTCAGTACATAACACCGTCAAAGACCTGCTATGCTTTCTGCAGCAGGGTCCGTGCCTCTAGCATCCCAGAACTGCCCAATCAGCATGAAATAGAAGTTCTTTTATCTACTGAGATGAACCAACTTTGTGTTGATTGGAGCCAGTCAGCTTGAAAGGAGGTGAGTCAGTCACTAGTGGCGTAGCGTGGGGGGTGCAGGGGGGGCCGGCCGCACCGGGCGCAACATCTGGGGGGGCACACTCACACTCCCAGCTCTCTGCCCCTACCTGGCTCACGGGTTAGGGGGCGCAAATTACTTGCCTTGCCCCGGGTGCTGACAACCCACGCTACGCCACTGTCAGTCACTGAGGATTGGCTCTGGGGGTCACTCTGGAGAAGGTCTGCAGGAAGAACACAGAGGGGGAGTTTGTTCTGCATGCCCCAAGGCTAAGCATTTAGGGACGCTGAAAACGCAAGGGGCTTCAGTTTCAAGAGAACGGTAGGTAGGTTCTGTTACGTATAAGGGAAATGCAACTTAAGTAATTCCAAAGGAAGATATTGGAGCACTCCAAATCATTTGCCCGTGTATGTGCACAGAAAATAGTAGATGGTAGCTAAAAGGCAACACAGATCTGCACTGATCATTGCAATGGATTCCTTATTATTATTATTGTATAATCTTAGAATGGGCATGGCTGTGAGGGGGTGTGACAATGAGGAGTCATAGCTGTGACTATTATGAAGGGACCCTGCACTTCTGAGTTTGCCACTACACTACTTACTATGTGGCAGTAGCCCAGAGGACCAGTGGCTTTTCTTATAACCTCTCACTAACATTAACATAGGGACGCTGCTGGCGCTGTGGGTTAAACCACAGAGCCTAGGACTTGCCAATCAGAAGGTTGGCGGTTCGAATCCCTGCGACGGGGTGAGCTCCTGTTGTTCGGTCCCTTCTCCTGCCAACCTAGCAATTTGAAAGCACCTCAAAGTGCAAGTAGATAAATAGGTACTGCTCCGGCAGGAAGGTAAATGGCATTTCCGTGCGCTGCTCTGGTTTGCTAGAAGCGGCTTAGTCATGCTGGCCACATGACCCAGAAGCTGTACGCCGGCTCCCTCAGCCAATAAAGCGAGATGAGCACTGCAACCCCCGAGTCGGTCACGACTGGACTTAATGGTCAGGGGTCTCTTTTCCTTTACTTAACATTAACATGAAACTTCTCTTAGCCACACACTCATTGCTCCAATTCCTGCATGCCTTGAAAGAACATACAAGGGGGGTGGGGTGGGATCCTGGGTCACACTGTGTAGGCCTTCTCTGCCCCCCTCCCATCCAGATGTGCCTCCCACCAGCTGCAAATTCATCGCCTGTATAACTGGCTCAGGATCACCCCTCACATGGAGGATATCTGTACACTGTTGCAAAGGCATTTTGGGTTTTTGCGGAGCCTTTCAGTGCACAAATCCCTTTTGCAGTTCTTGGTTTCTGATCCTGCCTTGCTGAGGGCCAAAGGGATGCAGGGGGACCCATTTCAGAATGAAACTCTGTGGCTGGAGTGGTTGACTCACGCCAACGAAAAGTTTACTGTTCAGAGACTCCCCAACCCCCACATAGCTTGCATTCACTGGGAATCTGGCGCGAGTGTTGACAGGCAACATAATTGTGCAGATGTTACACCGGGCTTCCATTAGCAGGCCAGCATACACAACTGTGCGTCCCTTTTTTATTTTCCTGTTTTGGAATTGCAGCTGTGGGAAGATATATCAACAGAGCATTAACACACATTTGTGACACTTGCTCCTCTGTCCTGAAGCTTCAGCCCCTTCTACCCCCTGACCCCAAGCGGACTGCAGTTGCTTTTTCTTGTCAAGGGGTAGGATGAGAGGTGGGGCGGGGGGGAGAGTCAGCTCACGGCTGAGGATTTGACGTGAGGGTATGGGTTCACTTTTGGAGGTGGGGGCCCGGGGAGAGACTCGTGCCCATATTGCATCTCTAGATGCTGAAAATTTGCCAGTATGCTTAGAAATTTCACGGCCTCTGTCGCGTGATGCGGAGTCTAATCCAGCTGTCCATTTGGAAGAATATGCAGATCCAAAGATATTGTGCAGAAAAAATTCCAGATTCAATCCCTGGCTCTTCCAATCAGAAGTCTCATGGGATGGGGTAGAATTTTATTTGTCTTAGATCCTAAAGTGCTGCTGGTGGTCAGACCAGGTGTAGGGACAATATTCCGGGGGCCCCGTACTTTGGTGGGTGGAGCCAGAGGCAAAGTGGGTGGAGCAAACTACAGCATCACCTTGATACTGCAGGCTATACAGTGGTACCTCGGGTTACATACGCTTCAGGTTAAACACTCCACTAAGCCAGAAATAGTGCTTCAGGTTAAGAACTTTGCTTCAGGATAAGAACAGAAATTGGGCTCCAGCGGCAGCAGCAGCAGGCCCCATTAGCTAAAGTGGTGCTTCAGGTTAAGAACAGTTTCAGGTTAAGTACGGACATCCGGAACGAATTAAGTACTTAACCCGAGGTACCACTGTATTTCTCAACAAGAACGTTTCATCCAGGAAAGCAAGAGGCATAATAATAATAATAATAATAATAATAATTTATTATTTATACCCCGCCCATCTGGCTGAGTTTCCCCAGCCACTCTGGGCGGTTCCCAATCAAATGTTAAAAACAATACAGCATTAAATATTAAAAACTTCCCTAAACAGAGCTGCCTTCAGATGTCTTTTAAAGATGGGATAGCTGCTTATTTCCTTCACATCTGAAGGGGAGGGTGTTCCACAGGGTGGGCGCCACTACTGAGAAGGCCCTCTGTCTGGTTCCCTGTAACCTCACTTCTCGCAATGAGGGAACCGTCAGAAGGCCCTCAGCACTGGATCTCAGTGCCCGGGCTGAACGATGGGGGTGGAGCTGCTCCTTCAGGTATACAGGTATCATGGTTCAAGGATGCTTTTCAGCCAAGCAGAAGCACTTTATGGGGCCGCATCAGGAGGACTGATGTGAGCTGTGGCATGGAAAAGGGACATGGTTTGGGGTAAAGTCCTGTGGACCAGACTGACAGGCTTGGAAGGCCTCCTTCAACTCCTCTTCTTACTGTTCTGGGCAATTTAGATGGATGCTACTGCTGTTATTTCGTGGGGGAAGCGTGTCTGTTTTGGAATGCATCGAGTGACTTCTCTCTCTCTCCAAATAAAATGTGTGACTCCCTTCCCAAAACACACCTTTCCCCCGCCTTCATTCTGTGGGTTTCTAGCCAATGGCTTGTCATGGAAAAAGATGGCTGAACTATTGGGACACTCTTAAAATTACAGTAAGCTGCACGGGTTGTTCAGCATGGGTGCTCTCATGCTGTGATTTGCCAGAACAGCTTTTTTTTCCCTGGCACTGCAGGGCTGTGTTTATAAGGGTGACTCAGACTCAGCTGGCTGGGTACTTGGAAGGAGCACAATGTCCATCCAGCAAACTGTCCCTCTTGGTTGTCTGCTTGGGCTGCTGACCCTTTTTACCTTGGTAGCAGCTGCAGCAGCAGGAGAAAAAAAAACCCCATCAGATTTGCCTTTTACAGAGTTAGACCTAGCTCAGTATTGTCTACAAGGGGGCAGAGGTGGGGAAGGGACATAGCTCAGTGGAAGAACATCTGCTTCGCATGCAGAAGGTCCCAGGTTCAATCCCCGGCATTTCCAGATAGGCATAAGAATGTCCTGTGTTAGAAACCCTGGAGAACTGCTGCCAGTCAGTGTGGACAATACTGAGCTGGATGGGCCAATATTCTTACTTGGTATAAGGCAGCACCCCATTCCAATCAACTATTCAGAACAATGAGGACTAGAATCTCACTCAGTTTTTAGAGGAAGAGCTGTGGTTCAGTAGTTGAGGTCCCAGATTCAGTCCTCAGAACTTCCAGGCTGGACTGCCTGAAACCCTGGAGAGCCACCACCAGACAATACTGAGCTTTTAGGGTGTTGCTGTTGTGCTTATTGTCTTAGATCCTAAATTGCTCTTCCATTAATGCATGTGGCCAAGGCGATTTCTGCCCAACCCCCCACTCCATCTGTACCCCCCCCAGCTCACAGAAACAGACGGAAGAGCACATGGGACTACAGAAGGAAGGAGAAGGCAGCAACGTCCCATTTATATGAACACTGAAAACTGCATTATACCAAGTCTGAAGATTCTTCTATCTAGCTCAGTGTTGTCTACACTGACTGGCAGCCGCTCTCCAGGGCTGGAGGCAGGGCAGCTTTCCCAGCCCTACCTGAAGATGCTGGGGATTCTGCTTGGGGGCGCCACAACCATTTACTTTCATTTTTCACAAATGTGAACTCTTTTCCAACGATAGAAAGAGAGTTAAGATCCAAACCACTGATTTTAAGTGCTGTTAGCCACCTTTTACATTTTTACAGGTGTCTCTAGTAAATAACAGAGGCCCACAAACTCCAGAATTCTTTGGAAGAATCCAGTCACCCAGTAGAGACCAGGCCAGTGGTCAATGTGTCGCTCTCTGGATATTTTTGGACTCCAACTCCCATCAACCCCAATGAGCATAGCATGGCCATGGTCATAGAAACCCAGCCAGATGGGCGGGATATAAATAATAAAATGTTGTGTTGTGTTGTGTTGTGTTGTGTTGTGATGTGATGTTATTATTATAATGATGGGAGTTGAAGTCCAACAACATCTGGAAGGTCATAGCTTCCCCATCCCTGGCTGAAAACACATTTTCTAGCTGGGCTAAAACTGAATTTACACGTTACAGCAGGGATGGGAAACCTTTGTCCCTCGAAATGTTTTTGGACTTCCAACCCTCAACAGCCTTCGCCAGCATGGCCAATAGTCAGGAATGATTGGACCTGAAGTCCAGTTACATCTGGAGGACTGCAGGTTAATCACCCCTGGTCTACAGGAAAGTAGATTGCTGGTTCTTTAGAAGGTGGCTGGTCGTCTGCAGTTGGGTGTGATCAACTTTTTCAACCCTGATCTACAGCACAAGAAAATCTTTGTTCCTTTGAGCTGCCTGGTTTAGCCGTTGCCCGTGCTTCGATGGATTTCTCAGCATTGATTGAAATGCGGGTTGGGCATTGATCTTATTTTAAAAAGAAAAGAAAAAACATACAAGCCAACCGTAAACCCAAATTGCAGTCCTTGAGTATAGTCCACACCTCTCTCTTTTCCTTTCTCAGGTGCAAGATATCAAATTTCAGGCATCCAGCGGGGAAGAAAAGGAGTCGTGGATGAAAGCTCTCAATGACGGCATCAACCGGGGCAAAAACAGAATACTGGACGAGGTAGCGTGAACGACAGGGAGCTGCTTTCTGCTCTGCTTCATACGGGTCCATCCAGCGCAGCATTGTCTGTAGCAGGCGTAGGGAAACCTTTTCATCCCTGAGGCCACATTCCCTCAATGGCAGCCTTCCAAGAGCCACACACCCGTGGTAGATGGGGCCAGAGGCAAAACTGGGTGGAGCAGTGGATGTGACTCTTACTTTTGCCCAGCAGGGTACATCCCAGCCATGCAGAAATCTGCACATGCACACCTCTCCTTCCTGGAATGTCACCTACTATCCGGAGGTAAAAGACCCTCCAGCCGCTTCACCATTTGCTTCTGGCCCAAGCCCCTTCTGCCCCTGGCCCTGGCCCCACTGACATGTGCCCCCCTGAGGGTTTCCCATGAATGAATGCAGCTCTTAGGCTGCAATAAGTCCCACACTTGCTCCTCCTATAAGCAGTGATATCACATGAGCAAGTGAATTTCAGGTGGGTGGTTTTCCCCCCAGTATTGCATCTAGCTCTAGGCTTGGCGGTGTCGAGGGGAAAGGATTTATTTTGGCCGGAGAAGAAAATCCGCTTGGGCTGGCCCTCCGTGGGCCTGTATCAAGGGCAGTTTTGGCAGCGGAATGTAAACTCTGAATGAACTTGGAGTCTGGTTTTCCGTCTCCTCCCCTCCTCGCTCTCTCTCGCAATTAAGCCCAAAGGGAGATTTGTGTGTGTGTGTGTGTGCAGTGTGGAGCTGTAACCGTTGAGAAGGAAAAGGTTTCATAAGAACTAACCCATCCCTCTCCCACCAACAACATTTCCCCCTTCAGCAGAACTGAATTGGCTTTGAGCGTCGTGGTATCGCCGCTCCTCAAACTGAGCACAACAGGGCCAGCTGGGAACAGCAGACTAATTGCAGTTGCCTTGCAAATCCAAGGCGGGGGGGGGGGGGAGGCTGAATTCAAGGCATTCAGGGCTCTCGTTACACAGGAAGAAGGAATTGCAGAAGTGATGTCATGTTGGGTGATGCTGGCAGCGTTTGCTGTATCTATGGAGTCGCTGCCAGAGGCGGCTGTGGATGCCCTGAACTAGTGTATTGTGAAGTCTGGACATATTGTTTTCCTCTGGTGGGTGGGTGTGCTAATGAACTCCATCTGCCCCTTGCTGACAGCATCCAAAAGGAAGAGTCTCCTGGGTGAGCAGGCTTCCAAAGCATCTAAGGCTGAAAACTTGGGTCTTTCTGGAAAAAGAACTATGTACGAGAAGAGAATCCAGAAGGGTGCTAGAAAAGACTTTATGGGGCTCTTTTCTCCATTGCTGAAAAATCTCAGCGTGATTCTAAGGTTATTGGAATCTGCTACAGCAGAAAATCTTTACTTATTGTATCAATAAGTCAATACATCATTGCTCATAACAATCAAATACTAAAATCATTTCAAAACTTAACACATCAAGCTGACAAATATGTCAGTTTATCAGTGCTTTATATGAACATTGTAACATTTAAGGTTATCATAAAATGAACTGCCAATCACAACAACATATTGATTAATGACGAATATACTATACATTCCAGTGCAATTGCATATCAAGGATAATATAACCACCAGCCCCTGCATGGCAGTATTATATGTACTATATAGTTATTTGGAAGTCAGGGCTGCTTCACACATAATCAGTCGATTTTCAAAAAGAGCTTGTAATTTTTAAATGTTTGAACAATGGCAGTGTCTTTGTATGTAAATCATGCATCAACCGTCCCAGCCCATGGACCCCAAATACCTGCTTGTACTACTCTGGCAAATGTTATAAACTTGTGACAGCCAACTTTTTTATCCTGGTGGTAGGTGGCTCTCTTTAGCAGGAGAAGAGATGTTAACGGCATTGTTGAGACCCTAAGTAGTTTGAGTGGAAAGGTCTAGTTTGAGGTTGAAAACTGACATGTCCTCCTTCCTAGTATAAGATGAGAGAACATAGATATTCTCTCAGTGTTGTCTACACCGAATGACTCTTCAGGGTTTCAGAATAAGATTCCTAGGGTAGCTCAGTTGGTAGAGCACGAGGCTCTTAATCTCAGAGTTGTGTGTTTGAGTCCGACGTTGGGCAAAAGATTTCTGCATTGCAGGGGGTTGGACTAGATGACCCTTGTGGTTGCGTCCAACTCTACAGTTCTATGATTCTGTTATTTTTCCCTGCCTTATGTAGAATTGCTAGGACCTCCTGTGTGCAAAGACTGTGTTCTACCACTGAGTTACAGTCCTATGTTCCAGAGACCTTTCCTATTGTAACGCGAGGGCTACTGCTCTCCAGATCAGAAGTGGCTAACTCTCTACTTGGTGCAGGGAGGATTGGAAAAACAAGGCCATCTTTTATATAAATTATACCTCATAGTTGTTTTTAATGCAGTGATTGATTTCTGTGCTGTATCAATTAATGTGTGAAACTTGGTAGTTTTAGCAGGGTTGGAAGGCTGGATTCCTTTAGTCTTCATCCATTCATGGGCAAAGAAGGTGATGTTGTTTCCCTCCTGTTTTCTTCCCTGTTTAAAGGTGAAGGTTGATCCAGACCTCTCTCTGGAACACGTGACACGAAACAGAGCAAAAATGGCTCAGGGCCGTCGTCCACCAACCAGATACCATCTCAAAGAGGTAATAATCAAGGCTAGAAAAAAAACCCAACTCCACTTTTTATGTTTGGTAGTCTGAATTCTGTATCTTAAATGCACCACAAGAGCCAATATGTTCAGCCTTTGGAACCTAGGAAGCAGCTGTATACTGAGTCAGACCATTGGTTCAACCACCTCAGTACTGTCTGCACTAATTGGCAGTGGCTCCTCAGGGTCTCAAGCAGGAGTCTCTCTCATCCCCAACTGCAGTTGCTGGCGATTGAACCTGGGACCATCTGCATTCACAGCTATGCGCTATGGCAGGCATGGCCAAACTTGGCCCTCCAGCTGTTTTGGGACTACAACTCCCATCATCCCTAGCTAACAGGACCAGTGGTCAGGGATGATAGGAACTGTAGTCTCTAAACAGCTGGAGGGCAAGTTTGGCCATGCTTGCGCTATGGCTTTTCCCCTGTAAACAATTTCCTGGCACATAGCCACATTAGTTTCTTGCAGTGAAAACAATCAGAATATATTGTGTCACCTTAAAGATGAACAGAGTCATTACAGCAAATATTAAATTTGTTAGCTGAGAGTCTTTGTCTTTGCATGTATATGTGTGAAATATATAGTGCTATTTTTCTAGAAAAAGAGGTGCCGGAACTCACTATGAACACCTCCCTTGTTCTCTTAGAATGGCAGTTGTGCACAACTGACGTGCCGGAACTCAATTCCGGCTGAAAAAGAGTTCTGGAAGTATATATTCTGTTATATTATATGGTATATGATTAATTTTGGACAAGGGAATTATATATAGCACATTTTCCTGTCCCTTCACCTCCAGATCTGTAGTAAGTCTTGCATATAAGCTATTTATGCTGCAAGCTATGGGGTCAAGCCTTGGACTCTCATGCCGCCCCTCTCCTGTGCACACAACCTTACAATTTGGTGCTTATATTTAGTCCAAATGTTTCTAGGTTGCTGCTTGGCAGAAGCCTCTGAAACTGCTAGCCAACAAGCCAAATCCAAATGATAGTAAAACGATCATAAATCAAGGTTAAACATGTACACGATTTAAAAATCGATAATAACCAGTAGAGTGAAAGTGAATTGCCAGAGCATCACAGTCACTCCAAACTGAAAGCCCAAAGGAATAAGACAGTCACCACGGACACCCTCACTGATGGTGAGAGGATGCACAAGAAGGACTTCAATGATGACCTCAATAGGCAGGAAAGGTGCATATTGGAGGGGTGGCCCTCCTGGGCAAGAGAAGGCTCTACTCATGCAAACCACCCACAGCCTTAAGCCAACATGGTTTCTTCCAGACGTTTTGGACAGCACAACCATGCTGCCTGCGGATTATGGACGTTGCGGTCCAAAACATCTGTCGAGCACCAGGTTAGTGAAGGCTGATGTAAGGGACCCATGTGACATACTTCCCAGACAACAGTTCTATGTTGGAAGGAATACAATAAAACCAAGGTTACTGTTGTCCGACAGCAGTGCTGGAAGGACCTCTGTAGTACTTGGTTCATGTTTGAGGTTCTGCATAAGGAGGGAAGATGAGATCAGGTCTCACTCTTGTGTCTGCCTGTATGCTGTGTGAACCTGCCACATTAAGGAAACCTTAACTAAAATAAAAAATAAATGCATGGTGGTCAGTAAGGGAAAAACAGTGGTGTATACCCAGGGCCTGTGTCAGATGCCTGATTTTAGCTCTGTAGTACAGTGGTACCTCCGGTTGCGGACAGGATCCGTTCTGGAGCTCTGGCTGGATCCCAAGGTTTCCGCAACCGGGGCTGCTTCTGCGCATGCACGTGGTACGATATAGTGCTTCTGCGCATGCCGCTTTCGCAACCTGAAGTTTACGTTACCCTCAGGTAACGTAAGCCGAGGTAGGACTGTGATTGCCTTTTTGGTTTCAGGAGTTCCTAAACTGTTCTTTGAAAACCAGGTGGCTCAAAGGACTGGTTATCATTGTAAATCTTCTTTTAACGTCCTCTTTTGATGAAAAGTCTCCTAGAGCAGCTTACATATAGCAGTAAAAGTCCCTGCCTATAGGCTTGCAATCTAGAAGACATGACACAAAAGGAAAAAGGGATCTGGAGGGGGAGAAACAAGCAAGGGTCACTTCTTTTTAAAAAAAACATAGGTCTTGTAATGACGAGGTGGAATGAAAATGGTTCAGGAAGAGGGGGAGCCAAATGTAGCTGGTCTCCCAGCAGAGCTGATGGGGTGGTTCTGCTTATTTTCTTTCCCTTAGCTGTAGCCTGATGGAATGGCTGCTGCCAAAAGACAGTTGCGGGAGGGAAGAACCTGGTGGAGCTATTGTCTCAGCGGAGTTGCTGGGGTGGCCCTGCTTACCATCTCCCTTTCTGCTGCAGCCTGATGCCCAACATCTGTCTTGTTGTTTCCTTGCCTAGGTTGCCAGTGGGGTGTCAGATGGGATCCTGAGGCTTGACCTGGACGTACCAGACAGCGGTCCTCCATCCGTCATGGTGGACACAAGCGAGGCTGCTGACGTTCCTCCTCCAAAGGAGACTCCCAAACCACCCATGCCACCTACGAAACCGCCTATGCCTCCTTCGGAGAAGCCGAGCGCCGACTCCGTGCCCAAAGATGTAGAAGCCAAGAAGCCCCCCGTGTCTCCTGCGAAGCCCCTTAAGGAAACCGCAGCACCCGGTTACAACGCAGACTCTGCGGAAGAAGATGTTGCTGCTACAGGCGATGACGCCGAAGAACCTGAAGCCACCCTAGACGGAGAGGACCTAACGGAGGCCCACAAAAACGCTCCCAAAGTTCCAGTTCCTCCCCCAAAGATCTTATCTGATAAGATGAAGGTAAAATGGGACAGTCCAGCTTCTGAGCAGCTGGAGGACGAGGCCGTTGATCTGTCTGTGCACGGAAGTAAAGAAAATTTATCCGAAGCAGCCAAGGAGACGCTGAAACCTCCAGCTCCTCCTCCTAAGGTTCTGTCAGAGAAGTTGAGAGCCAGCATGAAATTGAACAGGAACAGCTCAGAGGTGGATTCTTCTGAAGGCGGACGCCCACCCGATGTCCCGAATGGTGAAAGCCCCGGTGTTGCTGGCGATGAAACCTCTGAGACTGTTTTCCAAGATGGAGAGGAGCAGGGAGAAGCTTTGTCAGAGCAAGAAGCAAATAAGGAGAGTTTGGACTTGGCGACTAAAGATCAGCTGCCCTCCTTGCAACCTGAAGGAAATCCTCCAGTTCCCAAGCCTCGCTGTGCCTCCGTAGGGGACCTGCTGTTGGAACCAGCCAAGAAGCCCCTTCTGGGACCACTCCTCCAGCGGGGAGCTGCCTCCAAAGTGGCCCAGATGGAGAGGAAAGTGGCCAGCGAGCAGGAAAGAACAGAGAAACTTCTGAAGGAGGTTTTGCGGGGGGGATTTGAACAGGGCCAGGCGGGCAGCAACGGGCCTCCGATCTATGCTGAGACGTTGCTCAACGAGGCGGCAAAGCAGCTCCAGCAAGCCTCGCAGGTCTTGCAAGAGATCAGAGATTTAGGAGAACTGAAAAAGGAACCGGCTGAGCTTCGGAAAGGGGCGCAGAAGGATCTAGTGACTCTGTATAGGAGAAGTGCTCCCTGAAAGGAAGGCGCTTCTGCTTTTTGTGGCTTAGCTGAAATGTTGCCATATCGCAGCACAACTTTCCACTATTCCGCTAGGTCGGTGTTTTGAAAATGGGGGGATGTCATCTTGCTGCGCACTGCTAAGAAGGAGGGGAAAACGTAATTTTAAAGTATTGCTCTGATGAGCTCAAGCTGTGGGCTGGAACCCCCTGGTGGGTCAGGTGACAGCAGCAGGGGGGTTAAGAGGACAAGGGAAGGGCTTCTCTCTGCTCTTTTTCTTGTTCTCTTGGAGACCCTTTGCAGCAGTTCTGCAAACAGCAACTGAAAGCCTAGATAAACTGGGGGTTATTTACTTCCTTGCAAGAGAGTAGGGGGAAAACAGGGATGGGACACCTCCTGAAACCCACCTTTAATAGCCATTTGTCCTGACCCACAAGATTCTTGCAAGTGGAAGTGATAACACAAACTCCAGCACACAAAAATCTCTATAAACCTACCAGCTAAAGCAGGTGGTTGGTCTGAGGCTGGGAAAAGTAAGTTGTTTTTAAGAGAGATGGAGGCAGAGTAAGCTCTTAAAAGAAATGGAGCAGGGGGAGTCTCCAAAGTTTGGGAACTGCCAGTTTATGTTTTGGCTGTCCAGCTGGATCCTGAGCATCAAATGGAAACAGGGTGTGAAGAGTCACTAACTACTTGCTGTGAGACTCCAGTCAGAGACTTAAGCAAGCACTTAGGGGACGTGGATAGTAACCTTCTTGCATTCCAGCAATGGCAGAATTCCTATCCTTGCCAGGCTAGCCATCCACTGCAAATTGTAGAGGATGGGGTGCATGGCACTCCCCCACAGGAAGCCAACGCATGCACAGCTCTCCTCAACTCTGTTTTGTTTTTTCATGTGGAGATGACCTTATTGTGCGTTAGATGCGCAGTGAAGGAGGAGATGGCATGCGCCTTCATTCCCACCATGAAATGGTGCAGCAGCTTTGGCAACCATATGAACAAGGGGCTAATGTTAGGGAAACGACCCTTGCAAGACCCATGAGCATAGGCACCCCCCAACCCCCCGTATTACTATTTCTACACACCTGCTCCCCCTCCCCAATGAAATGAATGCTATTCATTTCCAGGACTCCTGATATCAGAATAACTTACTTTCAGTTCTGCTTGGTTGCTTTTTTCTCACATGAGCCCTTCTTGCGCTCTGGGGCCTGACGTGTGGGAACCTCATGCTTAACTTTTTCCTCAGATGCTTCTTTTAGCATTCACATGTCATTAAAACAACAACAGCAATTGTGCGGGCATTAAATTGGCACCACATTAATAAACGAGCGAATGGTGAATAATCATTTGCAGTGCAGGCTAAGTGGCAGGAAACAGCGGTACTTAGCAGCTATGACCCTGGCTGGCTTTCCTGGAGGAGGCCCCTTACCCCCAGCCCCTCAAATGGCCAGCTAGCAAAGCCTTGCTATGGATTTCATTTTATCTGTACACTGGCAAGCAAGCGGGGTGGCGTGGAGGCAGAGAAGGATGCATTAGTTTTCACGGGAGGAAGGGAGATTTCCCGTTGGGGCTTCTTGTTGCTGACTTCTAGCACAGTGGCCCTGTGCTCTTGATGAATACACCATGCAACTATTCCTGCAGGGTAAACGAGGAAAGTGAGTGAGATGAACAATGACTTAACAAAGCCCAAAGGGACGGGCTTAGCTCATTTTTGTTTTTTCTGCACCTTTGAGGGTTGGAACCCCCTCCTCGAAAGGAAGGAAGGAAGAAAAAGAGAGAAAGAAAAGTAGAATTCTTCATATTCTAGCAAAGTGCCTCAAGAGCTACCTAGTGCCCACCAGTGTTCTGCGTCACCTACAAAATTGGTGTAGATCAGAGCGCTTTAATACAAAGCATAGTGTGAATGCCTATAACAGGCTTGAAAACAACAACCTGTCTGGTGAATAAAATTTGCCTCCAGGTGGCCAGCCACAAATAACTAACAAATATATGTGTGGGCAGGTAGGCAAGCTGCCTTGAAGGGTTTGTTGATAAGGCTTGGCTTGGCTCTAAATGAGGGTGCTGGAAGGGCAGCCACACTGCCCGTTGTGAGGCACAATGGGTGCTGAATGGTTCTCCAGGGTGGCAGGAGGCTTTTGTCCCTTGACGTCCGGTTCTTGCTCTGTGGTGCCCCACATGACTTCAGAGCATATTTCTTTAATCCTGACCTCGGCCCAAGTACCAGGGCCTGGCAACCCTCAAGCAATTGCCAGGGCCTCTGCTGTCCCAGCAGTCTCCACTAGTACTGACACTTGCACATGACCCACCTTCCCACTGTGGGTTGTCTAGCTCTTCTTTAAGCATTTTACATTCCCATTTAATGTCTCACAATATCCCAGAGTGATGCTGTGCTGGAGGAATTGTGGGAAATGTCAAACGGTGGGCTGTAGCTGCCCACCCCAGCTGCCATGGAGGGGCCTGCCAATGTAAGGGGACTCTCAAATTTGGAGCTGGCCCTGAATAGTTGTACGTACACCACAAAAGTGGTTACCCAATAGCTAACAACCTCATTATGTTTACTCAGGTTAGTTCCCTTGCCTTTCTTTGCTTTCCCAGCTTGGCCGTTGGGGAGCTGAGCTGCTTGGATCATGTGACTCATCACATAATTATGTATCTAAGTTCTAGTTCTCCAAACTTGGAGCAAAACTGGATTGAAGCTGGGCTCCTCTTTAGCATATATGCAATTGTTTTGCACTAGCAGCTTGCCTTTTAAATAAAGCGTGATAGATATTTGTGTTTAGGGCTACTTCCCCCCCCATAACTGTTTTAGGTATACCCCATGATGGCTTTTGCGTGTGCCTAAAAAATGTATGATTGTGAATGTAACACATGTTTGCAAAAAGAGCTGGTTCACGCATGCCTTTTCATCTCCAGCAAAGCATCGCGTGGAGATCTGCACATGTGAACAGGCTGCCATCAACCTCAAAAAGAGATCACACATCACCTCTTAACACAATGCTTTTTTAAAAAACACACCAAGTCATGCCACACGTTCCACTGTCAGTCATAAAGTGTAGAGAAAGTGATGTTTGTACATGTTGGAGCCAAAACCACACAGACACATTTCTGAAGGCACCAGTATTAATTGTGCTGCTATGTGCAAGGCTATACCCCATGTAATGTGTGAACTGGCCCTTATTTATCCAGTTACGCACTGAAGGAAATACCTGCTGGTATCTCCTGCATCATCCATTTATGCCGTACATATTTAATTTACACTGAATAACTGTCTGATATATTTTCTCAAAGTGCTTTCCATAGGAACCTTAACAAGAAAGTCACCTCTGAACTGTCACAGCTGGTCCCCCCCCCCCCGCCATAAATTTAGAAGCTACATATTCTACAACCTATATACTAACAGTAACTTAAAACTTATTTTCTATGCTATCTTGTAAATAAGAGTAAATTAAAGCCTCTTTTGGCAATACCGGCTGGATTGAATCTCTTGTGGGAGAACTCGCTTTCCAAAATGTTTCATTCTGAAAAGTGTGGCATCCTTGTAAGCCTATGAGGTAGCTGGCACACATATTGATAACTGGTGACTCAAGTCCTTAAAATCCTGAGAAACCAATTAATATATATATATACCAAGATTTTCTGAGTGTCTTGATTTTTCTCTTTGGGCTTAAGGGTATGTTTCAACACCCCCCCCCCCCAAATAATGTGGAGTGTGCTCTATAGAGCATGAAACAAAACCAACAGGACATGCAAACATTTCAGGAGTCTTAAAACTTTTTGGGGACAGTGGGCACACCTAGAAATTATAGAAATTTCCATAGATGCAAGTCGTAAAATGGCTGCCATGTGGGCGTAGCATAACACAAAATGACTGCTACCTCTGAAAGAGCAGAAAGAGAGATGAATGGTGTGGGGTCTGCTCCCCATTTAGTGGGAGAAAAGGCATTTCCTCACACAGAGAATCTCTTTGCACTTTGTTCAGAACAGAGGGTGGGTGTCCAATCCTGGCATCTGGTGAAATGCGTGTTATGTTTAAGGGGGCATTTTTAATGTAGGAAAGGCCAGGCCAGGCCAGTCAGTCCTTCCTGCTATTGTTGGTTTTTGAGGCCAATCAAGGTGAAAGGAGCTGTGCCGGCCCTTGAGGACCGTCTCCAAAGGCTAACTCTGGAGAAGGTGCGCAGGAAGAACACCGAGAAGCCGTTGATCTGTAGCCTCCAAAGCTAAGCATTGAGGAACACTCAAAGCGCAAGGTGCTTCAGTTTCCAGAGAACAGTGGGCAAGGTCCTCATGATGTACAGTGGTACCTCGGTTTACAAACTTAATCCATTCCGGAAGTCCATTCTTAAACCAAAGCCATTCTTAAACCGAGGTGCGCTTTCCCTAATGAGGCCTCCCACCGCCGGTGCCCTTCCACTGTTTGGCTTCTGTTCGTAGACTGAGGTAAAGTTCGCTAACTGGGACACTACAGTGGTACCTCCGGTTAAGAACTTAATTCGTTCTGGAGGTCTGTTCTTAACCTGAAACTGTTCTTAACCTGAGGTACCACTTTAGTTAATGGGGCCTTCCACTGCCGCCATGCCTCTGGAGCACGATTTCTGTTCTCATCCTGAAGCAAAGTTCTTAACCTGAGGTACTATTTCTGGGTTAGTGGAGTCTGTAACCTGAAGCGTCTGTAACCTGAGGTACCACTGTACTTCCGGTTTTGCGAAGTTCTCATACCGAATAGTTCGTAAACAGGGCTGTTCTTAAACCAAGGTACCACTGTACAAGGAAAGCACAACTTGAGTCTCGAAAAAGGTAAGGGAGCATTCAAAAACATTTGCCTGTCTATGTGTACAGAAAACAGCACGTCTAGCTTAAAGGCAACACGTGGAGATCTGCAATGCATCCATCGTCATCATCGTTATATTGAATTATAAGATGATTGTATAATCTTAGAAGGTTGTAGAATCCTAGAAAGGTGTAGCGATGAGGCTGTGACTTTCATGAAGCAACACTGTACTTCTGAATTTGCCGCTACGCCAGGGGGTAGATCTGCATTAAAATGCAAACCTAGCTGAATCCCACTCCCCTCCCTACTCTGGACTGAATGGCCTTACAGAGAGGACCCATTTGAGACTATAACATGTACCGTATCGCTTAAAAATGTAGTATCCTGCTGCCTTTGGGACCCCTTCTCTGAACTCCTGCTTTTTGAAGTCTTTCCCCTGTGGCTGCGCAGGCTGCAGGCCTCTAAACCGCAAACATCCCTTTCCCAGCCTGTGAGGGAAGCTGCCAAAGAGAAGTGGAGGTTGCGCACATGGCAGCAGAGTCACATGCACAACTTGTTGGCCATAGGGTGGTGGAATCTGGCATACGCACAACAGGCCTTTTTTCAAGCAGCTGGCTGCTGCGGGTGAACAAGCGTCCGTTTTTCAGAACAGCGCTGCTCTTTCCAACAAGTCCTTTCACCCCTGCTCCCTCTAGCAAAGCCAGCCGTTTTAGGAAGCCTGCACCACACCTCTCCTTGCTGCGGCACAGCTGGGTGAGTTCTCTGGCTGTGCTGTATTTACAAAACGGCAAAAATCCTCCAGCAGATAAGCCACAAACCAGATGCAATTTGCAGAGCTTCAGAGCGTCTTTGCCTAATAAGGAAGGCACAGTGTGCTCCTGCGGCCTGTCAAGTTCCCGGCCACAAGTTGCGATGTTTGCATCTGCAAACAGAAAAGTGCTCAGGAGGCGTTTTGTGACCTGGACCAAGGATCCCAGCTGCTGCTTTGCCCTAAAAGGCTAGAGATGACTGTGATTACTCAGTGCAGTTCAAGTGTGTATTGTTCTGCTCTTTGTATTCAGAATCTCCATCCCATAAAAAATGGAAGTGATTTATAATCATATCTATATATAATAAAAAGACATTAAAAATTAAAACCGGAGAACATCAAACAGCCATTATTGAAAGATACCTTCTTAACTGGCGGCGTAAGCTTGGCAGCTTAGAAAAGTTTTCAGCAGGCTTTTAAATGTTGAAACAGAAGGTGGCTGCTGAATCTGATGGCAGAGCATTCATTGGGACTTGGCCAAGGATGCCAAAGGCTCTACACCTTCATGAGCCTCACCAGTGCAGAAGGCAACCAATAATACTCCTGAAGACGATTTTGATAACGGCTGGGATATAAGAACCTAGGCAGTCCCTAAGGTACCCTGGACTCAAGGTGTTCAAGGCCTTGCAAATTAATACAAAGACCTTGAGCTTGGTGTGGTAGTAGGTGGGCAGCCTGCACAGATGTTTTAGCAATGGTATCACGTGTTGTTGGCAAGATGCCCCCATCAACAGTCTGGATGTTGCATTCTGCATCATCTGGATGTAGAGCACATTGCAGTAATCCAGCCTCAATGTTACCATTACATGGACTACAGCGGCCAGTCATGCCAGCGTGGTGCTCTCCAGATGTTGCACACTTTCATTCCCACCATCCCTGACCCATTGGCCATGCTGGCTGGGGATGATGGGAACTGTGGTCCAAAACATCTGGAAGGCACCAGGTTGGCTGTCTTTGGATTATTAGGTAGGCACTTAGTCTATTCTTCCTGCTAAGAACACACAACCGCCTATGCTCTGCCTGAGCCAATACAAATCAGCGCCACAATATCACACAGTTGCCAGCCAATATCAACATTGGTTTCAATGGAAGAGGAAACCAGCTTTTCGGGGGCCGCAGAGCTGCGTTTTAAAATACAGTCAATAAATAAACACAGCCTAAAAATACATCATCTACACTGTAGTAGACCTAATGGAGGAAGGCAAGTTTGGATTTCTGCAGCAGGCTGAAGGAACCCCCAATGGGCTCTTTGTCTGTGAGATATTTTCACAGCTGATTAGCCCTGCCATATGCCACTGAAAGCTGAAGAGGGAGATCCTTGTTCTTAAGCATGCAGGGCAAAGCAAGGAACTGCAGGGAACAATGTTAGCCTATGTTTAAGATTGTAAGAAATTCTCTCTTGGATTGGGCCAAAGCTCATCCAAGCAGATGAGCATCTTGTGAACAGCCACTGGAGAATACAGTACCCAGATATCACATCAGTGAATCTATGCAGAGGGACCCTTGACCCTTGACCCACTTGGCTGATAAAAACTAGGAGGGAGGGGAGCTGTCTGGGCCAGGGAAGTGATTAATGCCTTCTCAGGAGATGGGTTTGTCCTTGCTTGCTTAAAGGAGGAAGTGGTCAAAACACTTCTAAATAAACACTCCCTGGTTTCTGAAAATTTAAGTAATTACTGGCCAGTGGCCAATCTCCCCTTCTTGGGCAAGGTCCTTGAGCAGGTGATCATGGATCAGATCCAGGCTCTCTTGGTGAAAACCAATTTTCTAGATCCATTTCAATTGAGTTTTAGGCCTGGTTTTGGCACAGAAGCTACTTTGGTCATCCTGTATGATGACTTCTGTTGGGAAAGAGATGGGGAAATGTGTCCTTGTTCATTATTCTTGACCTCCCAGAGGCTTTTGACCATGGTGTTGGAGTGGCTGTCCAAGTTGGGGGTGGACAGCACTGTTTCGTGGTGGTTCTGATCTTACTTAGATGGTTGTTCTCAGAGAATGATGCTTGCGAAGTGTCGTTTGGCCCTGTGGGTTCCTCAGGGTTTGATTTCATCCCTCATGCTGCTTAACATCTATCTACATGAAAGCGCTGAGTGGGGTCATCCAGAGTCTTGGAGGATGTTGGCAGCAGTATGCTGACAACACAGAGATCTGCTTCTCCAGAGAGTGGCATTTGTGGAATACTGGAGTTAATGGGAGTTGTAGTTCAACATTTCTGGGGGGCATCGGGTTGGCTACGCATGTAGTAAGCTGACCGTCTTGTGTTTGGGGTCCCTCCTGGCCGTTCTGCTGACTGGGGCTCTGGATTTCTCCCCTAAGTCCTACCCTGAAGGCAGTGGTGGCAGTAAAGGTAAAAAAAGGACCCCTGGATGGTTAAGTCCAGTCAAAGGGACTATGGGGTTGTGGCGCTCATCTTGCTTTCAGGCTGAGGGAGCCGGTATTTATCCACAGAGAGCTTTCTGGGTCATGTGGCCAGCAGGACTAAACCGCTTCTGGCACAACAGAACACCGTGACGTAAACCAGAGTGCATGGAAATACCATTTACCTTCCCGCTGCACTGGTGTACTTTCAAACCGCTAGGTTGGCAGTAGTGCCCACTGGGACTGGTGGGGTGGAAAGCAATGAGCCCAACAGCAGGTGGAGCCAAGGAACTTATTATTTGTCCCCATCCTTCTGCTGAGTTTAAGGAGGACCACACTGAGTCCAAAGAGGAGGAAGCAGACAGCCAGAGCTGCTCTCAGGACTCAGTGCAAGTCAGAAAGCAGGTGGGCTTGGGGGAATCAAGACTGAGGTTGGTGGGGCAGCGCCCCATTTGCCCTAATGGACCACATTCCTACATCCTTGTGCCAAATTGCAGACTGATCAGCAATTTCCTGTTTCCAAGGTCGTTGCTTGGTTTGGTGGCAGGCAAATGGGCACCCACAGAGAACTGGGGAGTGGTGTAACCCCTTGGCCTGCATCACGAACCTTTGCCAGCCAAAGGGCATCTTTTAGATGGGAACCAGAAATTAAGGGTTGCCATGTAGAGGTCTTGTTGCTTCCTCTCTTCTGTTTTGAT